GTCTCAAGCAGACTCTGTGCTGAGCGGGGAGCCCAGTACAGGGCTTGATCTCACAACCCTGAGATCACTACCTGGGCCGAAACCAAGAGTCGGATGCTTAAATGACTGTGCCACCCAGGTGTCCTTATGCTATAGCTTTATACTAAGTCTTGACAACTGGTAGAGCAAGTCTTCCATCTTGTTACTCTTCTCTAAGAGTGTCTTGTCCTGGGCCACCTGGCAGGCTCAGTCAGAAGAGCATGTGACTCTTGATGTTGGGATCCTGAGTTCAAGCCCCGTATTGGGTGTAGATATTACTTAAAAATACTTTAAAAAAAAAAAAGAGTGTCTTGTCCCTTTGAATTTCCATATGCATTTTATTTTTTTTAAAGATTCTATTTATTTATTTGAGAGAGAGAGGGACAGTGAGCACGAAAGAGAGACAGAGAGCACACCAGCAGGAGAGGTAGAGGGAGAAGGAGAAGCAGGGAGCCCGATGGGGGGTGGGGCTCGATCCCAGGACCCCCGGGATCACAACCCAAGCTGAAGGCATATGCTTAACCAACTGAGCATCCAGGCGTCCCTCCATACGCATTTTAGAATCAACCTTTCAAGTTCTGCTCACACACACACACACACACACACACACACACACACACACCCCTCTGAACTTCTGCACTCAGCCTTCGAAGCACTTAGCACTGGATTATAGATGTTTATGTGTCTGCCCACCCCACCCCCTTCCCCGGCCCTGATCCCTGGTTCTCCCTAAAGGTATCAGTTCCCACAAGCCACTCAAGGCTTGAGCATCTTTCCAGGCTGGGTGTGAATCTGGTGTTTGAAAACATGTGTGCAACAAAGCCCCAGCAAGCCAGTTATCTCATCTCATCTTGCATTCAATCAATGAAACTGCAATCAGATCCATGCTGGAGGGAAGCTGGCTGTGTTGGATGTACTGAGAGATGTTCTAGAATATTGTTCTCCAACATGGCACCTCTGTAAAGAATTTTCAAGGATGATTATAACGATGCCCAGTGTTTTTACATGCTGACTTAAGAACCAACTTTCGAATATGACAGGATTCCACTTACCCTCTATGGCGCCAACCTCCCTGTAACAATTTTGCAAGCTCCTTGAAAGCATCATCTGTCTGCCTTCTCCCCAAAGTTCTTCCAAGAGGACCTTGGCACATCATAGGTCCTCAGTAAATGCTGGAGTTATGATTAGTAAATGCTGTTGATTCTTCCATTCTACCTGCCTTCCACAAATTTTTTGTTTAAAGAATGCTTTCAAAAAGCAGATTTATTGAAATATAGCTTACATGGCAATAAAACGTATCCATTTAAATGTATGTTTTGACAAATGTGTATGTAAATGGCCCTCTAACTTCCACAAATGCTCCTTCCAATTCATTTCCCCAGGGTGGCCGGAGGGAGTTTTTATAGTAAATGCATCAGATGACTGCCCTGCCCTTGCTCCCCCACATTCTTAAAACCTTCCACTGGCTCCCACTCAGCTTATGAAAATAAGCAATCACCTACCATAGCCTTCAAAGCCCTGCCTGACCCAGTCCTGTCCACCCCCTGGATCTCATTTTCTCTCTCCCTCCCGGTTTCTCACTGCATTCCAGCCATGCCGTCTTTTTCTGTTTCTCTCAAACCACAAGGCTCTCTCTTGCCTCTGAGCCTTTGCAAATGCTATTCCCACTGTCAGGAATGCTCTTCCTTGTATCAGTTAACTATTGCTGGGTAACAAACCACCCCCAAACCTAGTGTCTTAAAACAACAACCAGGGGCGCCTAGGTGGCTCAGTCGTTAAGCGTCTGCTTTTGGCTCAGGTCATGATCCCAGGGTCCTGGGATCGAGCCCTGCATTGGGCTCCAGCCCTGCATTGGGCTCCCTGCTCGGCGGGAAGCCTGCTTCTCCCTCTCCCACTTCCCCTGCTTGTGTTCCCTCTCTCGCTGTTTCTCTCTCTCTGTCAAATAAATAAATAAATAAAATCTTTAAAAAAAATTTAAAACAACAACCATTCATGATTTCTTAGGAGCCAGTGGGTCAGCCAAATGGTTCTGCTGGTCTGGGAGGGACTTGGTTGATCTTGGTTGGGCTCCCTCACACACTGCTGATCCAAGGGCTGTTGGCTGCTCTAGGCTGGCATTGGCTGGGATGGCTGAGACACCGTGGCTCTCCTCCATGTGCCTCTGCCACCTCTCCAGCAGGCTTGTTAGGGGTGAAGGCAGAAGCCCAAAGGAAGGTAGGCTCTGGCAAGCATGCTTTCAAGCCTCTGCTCTGGTCAAGACTCCTAATGGCCTATTGCTAAAGCAAGTCCATGGTCAAGCCCAGATTCAAGGGTGGGGAAATAAATAGACTCTGTCTCTTGAGTGAGAAGAACTGTAAGGTCTCAGGGCAAAGTCTAGACACAGAGAAAGGAGCAAAATAGGGGCATCTTCATCCCTGCCCCTTCTTTCTGTCTAGTACCTTCTTATACTCTGCCTTTTCCTTGCATACCTTCCCCTGACCATCCTGGGGGACAATGGTCCTCCCCCAGTTCTTTTCGGTGACAGCCCCGGTCTGCTTCCTTCACAGCCCCCAGCACAACCTGTAATCCTCTTATGTGTGTGTGTGTGTGTGTGTGTGTGTGTGTGGTCCCAGGGCTTGGCAGGAGGCAGGGACCACTCTGTGCGTTCTTCGTGCCTCCAGGCTCAGCCCAGGGCTTGACACATAGAAATTGCTCAAGAAACATTTGTGCATCAGCTAATGACCCATCAGGGCTGCATTCTTGGAGAAAGGAGAACATGTTACGCTGTGCCTCTGGGAGGTCAGTCCCCTTCCCTGAGCTGCCATATCCCAGAAGGGGGGTCCTAGAGAAAGCAGCTCCCACACTTAGCCCGAGCCCCAAGGCTGCCCTTGTCATTAGAAATGAGGTTCACAGGACAGCCTGAATGCTTGCGGCCGGCAGCCACGCTCCCACTGGAAGTCACACCGCCCTGCCCCGAGGGTCAGGCCATTCTGCCCCAGGGGACGTGTAGGCCTTGCTCCACTGTGCTTCGATCTTAAAATAGATTAAAGGCCACCCTGTGAGGGAGGACGTCTGGAGTTTCAGAACTCAAAGATCAGAGCCTGCGGGTCCTGAGCCCCTGTGGGGTCGGTGGGCTGAGGCCGCCGGGTGGGGTCGCATCAGTGGAACAGGCCGGCCTCTGCCTCCCGGGTCTGATTCTACCCACTGAGTCCCCATGGGATCCTCTGCTCCATCCCCCTGTGTTGTGGCCCAAGGGGCAAGCCTGCCCAACTCACCATTTGGGTCAGCGTATTCGAAGCATGTTGTTGAACCGGGACCTTCTTCGTCCTCTGCAACGTTAATGTCAATACTAATACTAACAGTAATACTAGCAACTGCAATTCACTTGGCACGTACTCTGCGTAAGATATTTTGTGTATCTTGGCTTGTTCATTGCTCACAGTGGCTGTATGACTTGGGTAACAAGCCACCCCCAAACCTAGTTTTACATCACCATCCCGTTTTACAGATAAGGAACCAGAGAGAGCGGGGGGGTGTGCCTGAGGTCTTAGATTTGAGATCTGAGGTCTCAGAGATTTGAACTCAGGTCCCACCAACATTGAAGCCGATGCCCTCATCCACAACCAGGCCCAGGCTGCCCCTCAGTCCTCCCTCCGGCACCCAGGGCCTGGACTAGACCTCTGGGTCCTGCCCTCCTTCCCTGCGCCTTGGCCCCATAGGGTCAGTGTTTGAGTAAATCACTCAAGGCCTGTCTTAGCATCTCCTTTGTCCCCACGAGCTGCCCCCCCAGTCACTCAGCAACCGCCCCGGCTGGCTGACTGGGTCTGAGCCGAGGGCAGGCCTGGCTGCTGGTTCAGGGTGGGGAGGGCCTTGTGAGAGCTGCAGGTGCTGCCCTGTCAGGGGCCTTTGTCTCTCCCATAATTGGAGACCTGGGGAGGCCGTGGGCCAAGCCCTTGGCAGAGCAGCTGGCTGAGCACGCTGAGTGGAAGCAGATGTGCCCTGGGCCGTATCTGGCCTGGTGCCAGCGGGAGGGGGGGTGGCAGCCAGAGGAGCCCTCGGACCTGGGAGGATGCTCGGTTTTTAGAGCCAAGGGGAGGCTAAACACAGAACAAAGCTGCCTCAGAGCCAAATATTTTAATCTGTCCGGTTTAAGAAAGAAATTGAATCTTCATTTTTGTAGTATACACCAGAGCTGGTTCTGAGCCAAAGGGAATTCGAGATTGACCCCAACGCCTGGTTCAACTTACAGATGGGGAAAACTGATGGATGGCAGGGACGTGCCCAAGGTCACCCCGCTCTTTAGGAACTAGGACACCTTACAGATTAGGGTGATGCTTGGGGTCCCCAGCCTTCCTCGTACCACAAGGTAGGTGTGATCATCTTTCTTATCTGGCCTGAGTGTGGGCCTCGGAGCCATGAGGTTTTCCAGAAGGGACACCCACCATTCTAGGAAGGGGAAAGATAGCCAGCGTCCACCTGTTCAGTCAGGTTAATTCCTGCTGCAAGGCCACACTGGGCTCCTAAACCCTTTACTGGCAAAGAGATGCATCCCCCGGGAGAGGAGAGCCTGCCTGTCTTTGGTGACCCTGCTCGTGGAGTCTTTTGAGAGAGAAAACTCCGCACTGCAACTGGGAATCACAGGTTCAAGTCCTAAGTCTGTCTCTGACATGCTGTGTGACCTTGACAAGCTGCTGCTTTTCTCTGGGCCTTAGTTTTTCCATCTGAAAAATGGGGTAATAGTATGCTAAGGCCTTCTAGACAGCAGAGAGTCTATTTTGAAAATCTGTCCATTTCTTGAGAGCTTCCAAAGCCTGCCCTCTGAGATAGGAAGAGCAGTATTATCACTCCCTGAAGGGAATTGACAGCTCAGAGAGGTGCAGTGACTTGCTCAATGACACACAGCATCCACAAAACTGTGGGATTGGATGGAGGTTTTTTGATTTCTAGCTCTGCGGTCATCTCCTCCCCAGGAGACCACTGTTCTCTCTGCCAGACCATGTGGGGACAGCAGGTATGGCCTTCCGCGCTGAGGGCCTCCATCACCCCTCATGGGGGAGCTGAAAATGATGGCAAGGATCAAAGCACGGAGGCTTACTTCACCTTCCTAATGGAAGGGGCTTCAGAGGCTCAACACAGTTCTTGGCCCTAAACCCTCTTCGGCATCCCTGTGGGAGAGTGAGGTCAACTAGCCTCTGCTTGGACCACTCCCAGACAGGAAGCTCACTACTTCCTGGAGCAGGTTAGCTCGGACTATGAGAAAGTACCCTCCACCTGACTCCTAGTCAAGATCCCTCCTGGAAGTGGGCCCATTGGCTGCTCCCTTGCTCCGAGCGCTGACGGATCTCCCTGCAGCCCCCTCACCTGGCTCCCGCTGAGGCTGGGACTGCCCTGTGGGCCGGCAGGAGGGAACCGTCCTCTCTCCCCGCCCGCCCCCCCCTCCCCCCGAGGCAGGAGAGGAGCCTGCGAGCCCTTGCCTGGACCTCATGGGAGGAGGGACGAGAGTTCTGGGACAGGCCAGCAGAAGATTCACTGGTCTGGGAATGAGAACACCTGAGTCTGCACCACATCGAGTCTACCAGTACTTGCTATGTCATTTTGGGTGAGTTGTTTTGCTTTTCTTGGCCTTAGTTTTCTCATCTGTAGGATGGAGATGTTCATAACCCCTGCAGGGCCCACGGGGCTTGTATAAAACCTGCTGGGAGGGGTGGTGGAAGGGGAGACCTTCGCAAAGTCAAGCACTGGACACAGGTGAGGATTGTGCAGAGAGAAATCATCTTCAGGTGTGACTCCGGACAAATCTGAGTCTCGCCGGCCCTCCTGCGGCTGTGGGCGGGGCCTTGGGTTGGTGTGCCTGTGACCTCGGCATGCCTGCTTCACGGACTCCACAAACTGCTGGGTCCTGGGGCTGCGCCATGGGACAAGGGACACGGGGCCAATAGGGTAGGAAGCTTATTCTCTTCTGATGGCAACTCAAGACGTTTTTGAACATATTGAAGCAAACATGAATACATTCTGAAACAGAAGGACAATGTGGCGTACGGACTGAAGGTAAAACACCAGGCTGGAGAGACCCCAAGCCGAGGGCAGGCTTTGCCCTCCCTGGCTCTGCCCTGCTCCCTTCCAGTCTCCACCGCCACCCCCCTGCTGGTGCCTGTCCCATTCTCTTTCTGTAGGAGAGGAACTTTAGGGAGAAAGTTTGTGTGGTCCCGTGACTGCACAGGTCAACCCTCCCCCCACTCCTGGACCCCTCCTTTGGCAAACTCTGCTCTTATTTATTATAAACTTGCCATTCAGAAATCTTGATGAAATGTCTGAGCTCATTTCCCGTCCTTAGAAGTGGTCGTCATTACCACCATCACCATCTTCTCCCACGAGCAGCTGTTAGAATCCTCTTTTCTGACAAAGCCAGACCCCATGGTCTCACCTGGGAAAGCTGAGGCTCAGAGAGGCTCGGGGTGTTCCTCAGCCCATTGCTCTGACAGTCCCGGGCACACAGACTCCCAGGGGGAGTCTGGCTGTGGGTTCCAATGCGGGAACCTGCATTTCCAGGCATCTCCCAGGCGAGCCAATGTTGCTGGTTCAAGGTCACCCTTGGACCCCACAGCCATTTATTTAGTAATGGCACTGGGGCTGCCGCCAGCCTCCTCTGCCCCACTGCACCTGCCCACCCTCCCTGCACCTGCCGTCAGTGGACCTGGAGAGCACAGAGTGCCTGACACCAGGCTCAGGTGGTGCTGTATCCCCAAGAAACCAGGTCTTCTCTGTCCAACTGAAGAATTAGAAGATGAACATATCATAACCTCCAGTGTGATAAGTGACTCAGGCAAGAATCATCCGTGTGCGCTGGGGCCACAGGGTGGGAAGTGTTGGGTAACAGGATACCATCAGTCTTGGAAGTGTCACCCCAAAGATTACTTGTTAACTACAGAGGGGAGTGTGCTTTGGTGCTGGGAGGTCTGGCAGTGACCACCTACACGGGCCATCAGCTGGACCTTGGCCATGCTGAGATACCACCCTTGCTGGAGACAGTTGGCCTCAGGCGAACATGGGAATCCTGTGGGACATTCTGCAGGGCTTCTGGCCTGGGTTCTTCAAAGGGTCTAGTATCATGAGGAACAGAGTAGGGGTGACATAACTGCCCAAGGCCGTACATGATGCTTGATTGGATCCCGGGCTAGGAAAAACAGCCACAAAGCACGTTTGGGAGGCCACCGGGGAGACGTGAGCATGGCTTTGGGTGATGTTGGGTGATTGCCGTGTTAATGCTGATTATTGTTGGTGTGGGATTGTGGAGGGCAATGTCCTCCTTCTGGGGAGATGCACCCTCACGTGTTTGGGGATGAAGTATCATGATGTCCCACCTTCCTTTTGGGTGGTTTGGCAAAAGGGAAATGTGTGTGTGGAGAGGGAGAGACAGAGACAGACAGACTCGAGCACACACAGAGGTCATCTCGGTGAAGGGTATTCTCTCAACCATCCAGTGGGTTAGAACATTTTCAAAATAAAAAAAGGCACTGAAAAGCCATAAATCCTGACTGAAATCTCTCCAAGAGAAAAACAGATAAGACTTAAGACTTACATCCTGTGACAGAAAAAATATCTTAAATATCCTCTCCACCCATCTTCTATTCAGAGTCTCACTTGTTAGGGAAACTGTTCCCTATAGAATCCTTTTTGCAGGTAGGATGCCTGGGTGTGACAGTTCACTCCAGCATCCTATACTTGGCCAAGCTGCTTAAAGCGTTCTGTACCTCGGCTTCCTCATCTGTACAATGGGAGAGAACATGAGTACCCACCGACGGTGTGGTTGTGGGGATTAAATATCAGGATGCCAGTGGGGCACTGGGCTGACGGCCAGTGCTCAGTAAATGACATGACTGCCCACGGCAGGTTGTCCCGCCCCAGCCCCAGCCTTTCTGGAATGTTCACCTAAGTGAGGGCTGGCCCCAGCTGAGGTTTCCCAGGCACCTCTGACTGTCCATTCTGCTGTGGGTGGCTGGACATCAGTACTGCTCCTCCTAGGTCTCCTCTTCTGGCCCATGGGATGGCCGTGGGGAACCATCACCTTGAGGCTGGGCATGGCCACGTGCCTTGCTGTGGCCACCAGGTGGAGGCATTTAACTACAGAGGCTCCGCTTCCCTAGCTCTCTTCCCACGTTGACAGGCAGGGGCCCTGCGGAGCCTGCACGAGGTCCTGCCTGCACCCGGGGTGGACTCTGAATGAGTGAGAAATACGTCTTTGTGGCTTTAAGCCTCTTGGATTTGGGAATTGTTTTGTTTCCAGTACAACCTTATCTATACCACCGATAAAGCAGGGTTGCCCTGTCCCTGGCCAAGGCTCTCTGGAACGCTCATCTAGAGGAGGGTCAGTCTTAGCAGGCACTTCCCAAGCGTCTCCGACCCGAGCCAATGCCCTCACCCCGCTAGGAGCCTCTGAGCTTGGCTCTGCCAGCCTCTGGCCATCCCCTTGCCCTGGCCGAGGGCCACTGACCCATGAGCACAGAGAGGGCCGCCCCTTCCCCCAAATACAGGCTCTTATCAGCCAATCTGCTGCAGGACGTTTGGTCATTGTCTTAGTCTAGACATCAGAATGAAAATCTCTTATCAGCTCATGTACTAGGGAAGTTGGGTTGGCCGGTATGGGGGCCAAAATCCCTCTGCCTCGGGCACAGCTGCCGCTGAGGCATCGAGGCATCGAACATGAAGCTTGTTGGAAGGGGAACCAGGGGCGAGGGAAGGAGCCCTGGACTGGGAGCCAGTAAGCCTGGGCTCCGGCCCTGGCTCTGCTTCTCACTGTGCGGCCTCAGGGAGTCTCTTCCGTTCCCGCCAAAGATTGAAGAGCCCTGCTTTTTCCTGCCCCAGGGCCTTTGCCCTGGTTATCCCTGCCTAACAGCACTCACCTGCCTAACAACTCAGCTCACCGGCCTCCCTCTTTACCGGCTTATCTCTTGCTTATTTGGCACATCTCAGCCTGAAACACAGGGTCATTGTGTTCAAAGCAGCCTGCACACCACCTTCGGAACACACATTTGTTTGCTTTAATTACTTTAATTTAAGTCATTACTTTAATCACTACTTGTTCAGAGACTGTCTCCTCTCTAGGCTGTGAGCAACATGAAAGTGACACTCTGCCCCCACCTTTCTGTGACCCAATCAAGGCTTGGTGAAGGAAGGAGTGATGTGTGTGAACAGACCTGTGAGAGGCTCCCTGACAGCCTGGGCTTGGGGGGGGGGCGTGGAGTTTAAAGGTGTCCAGCTCCCCTCTCCCCTCCCCTTCTCCCAGGAAGTCCCTCTTCCAGCTCCCTTGGGCAAGGGCTATGTGTGGCCTAAGTGACTTGGTCCTGTGCTGCCCCCTGGTGTCCACTTCTAAGATAACGGCCCCAGGCCCTCCCGCTCCATGAAGGAAACCGCCTGGGAGTTTTCGCTGTGTTGTTACTGCAGACAACAGCCCTGTGAGACCGGGGTTATTATTGCCCATTTAATCAATGAAGAAAGCCCTCATCTGCTCATTTAGCTGGAAAATATTCATCGAGTACCTATTATTTACCAAGCACTTTGCTGGGAGCTGGTGCTTCACTTTCTACCCCAATGGAGCGTCCATTTAGTCTGCCAGGAGGAGGGAAGACAGTAAATGCCATGAACACACAGAATGTGTGTATGTGTGTGTGAGAGAGAGACCAGCACGTTGATGGACCAGGCATTAACTGACTCGTCCAAGGTCACACAGATGCCACCAGATCTGAGTCCGGTTGTAATGATCACCGCTGATAGCTACATGAGCCCCAGTGCTGTTCCAGGCGCCAAACTCAGTGTTCCCTACATGTGTGTTAACTTGTTTTATCCTGACAACAACCCTGTGGTTATCCCACCTGCAGAGGGGGAAACAGGACACAGAGAGGCTAGGTAACTTGCCCAAGGTCACTTAGCTGCAAAATGGTGGAACCAGGACTTGAGCCCAGGTGTTTTGGCTCCAGAACCTCTCTCCTTAGCACCATGCTACACGGGCGAATTCTAGGAGCTTTGACATCCAAGGCTTCAGTGATGGTCGCCACAAATCCAGGGCCATGTGCCCTCCTTCCCTAGCCAAGAAGGATCAGAAGAGCTCATCCTGGCTGGTCCCCTGTCTCCAAACCATCCAAGATGGCTGAGTAGCATCCTGTCCCATGGCTTGGAGAGATTGGGGAAGAGAGGGTACCATGGATGGCCCCTGCCTCTCACAGGTCTGTTCACACACATTACTCCTTCCTTCACCAAGCCTTGATTGGGTCACAGAAAGGTGGGCAGGTCCCCCCAAACCACAGAAAGGTGGGCAGGTCCACCCAGAACCAACCCTGCTAAGGAGGGAGATGAAGGCCAAGGGTGCAGAGAGCCAAGGAAGGCTTTTCAGAGGAGGTGAGGGGTGGGCCTAGAGAAATGAGTAGGATTCGGATGCACAATGTTGTGGGAGGGGCAGAAGCAGAGGGAATGGGGTATGCGGCTGCTGGAGGGTGAAAAAATAAAGCTCACTACAGGCTCTGAGGTTCAGGCTTCCCTAGCAGGCTGAGGAACTGGGCTGCCTGTGTGCTGGGGGCCCTTCAGGGGAAGGACGTGGTCAGGTTG